TTGCAAACAATAAGGTAGGTCACGTGGTAGCACCATATTTCGCATGTCGTGTTTTCAATTCGGTAGAAACGCACTTCTCTTAATAGTTTTTCGAATTCACTTACTCACGTAATGATACTTAGAATATTTTACTTCTCTCTAGTAGAAAAGCGCTACAAAACTATTTTCAACAGGTCTAGTATTTTGGCCGAACCGATTTTGATGAAAATATACAACATCTGGTTTATTTTGTCATTGGCACGGATTGATCCAATTTTGTGATATATCAAGCTTCGAGAACTGGACTTTTGCCATACAATTTGAATATTTTTAAGAAAATATTCAACAGATAGAGTTTTTCATCAACTTGAAATCTTATATGTAAACAGAATCAGAAGCAACTTAACTTTTCAAAAAAGTCAGGTGTCAGCAACTGGATTTTTACTACTGGTCACATTTACATTTTTGTGTATATAAAGAGAAATAATCGACCAATTTTTGAATCTTGAAATTTAATATTTGAGTTCTGTTTGCAACCGAAAAAATTTGACTAAAGAACTTCTCAGGGAATTCGAATTGCATAATATGAATCTTTTCTAAAAGCCTCATTTGCATTTTTCTCGATGTATTGTTAACTAAAAGCTCAGTACTTTAAGAATAAAATTTAAATCTCTTAAAATTTAAAAAAATCGTTGAAAGAATACTTTTAAAATCTAGTGAAAGAGTTTTGTTAACCTAGATAATATACAATTGGATCGGTTATATGCTGTTCAATCATATTATTTTGTATAGGTTATTCTTTCTAATTGTGGGCTGCGGTGTGCCTTGAACGTCCAATATCTAAAAAGTTAGACAAATATTTTTATTCCATTTTTCTTTTTTTGTACATGGTGGGTGTTTGTAGAAGCTCTTACAAATCAATATTTATTCTTTTAAAATAATATTTAGATTCATCATTTTGTTTAATATTAAATTGCAAAAAAGAAAAAAAAAAACAACTGAATTACATAGAATTGAATTATTCTTAAATTTACATTTTCGTACATTTTGATTTGTAATTATTTTCAAATTTCACACATTTATGGAGAATTTATTATTTTTGATTTAAAAAAATTGTTTTCCATTTGACTTCAAAACATAATTTACTAAACAAGCTGTGACCATAGTTGGAAACAAAAGATGATGATAAGCTCCAATTAAAAACAAACAGAAACGTTTATATTTTATAATTTAAGAAGAGATTTTGAAGCGCGTTGGTTGGTTGAATCACAAAACTTTTTAATTCAATTATAGTTTATGGTTGTGATTTATTGTTTGTATATTTATAAGATTTTGTTTTTAGTAAATTAAGATGTATGTACATGAATGTGTACTAATGTTCAGTATAAAATTGATTTATGCTTAAAATTGGAAACAGGTTGGAAAAGAAGTTGAATCGAAAAATATACAATATGCATTTTATTTTGCTGGCTGCGTATGTATGTATGTATATAACTTCATTAATATAACGAGTTTGGTTTACAATATAATAATTTCGCCTTTCGATTCCCGATAATTTGTTTTATAAACAACCAACATTTTTTTTTCTCAAAAATTTCTATTTGATAAGCATTGGAAAAGGGTTTTGCTCTTCTCAAATATACAACTGGAAATAATAGTAGCGTGCGATCATGAGCATACGGCATATGGGCCACTTTAAACGGTTGTTTTTGTAGAACTCCGAGAATTATAATTGAAAATAAGTATTTTCCTTTTGACACTGACAAATAAGCGGTAAATTCATATCTATCTATGTATATTGTAACTCTGATCATTATACAATATTAAATACGAATTACAAACATTCTTTTAATTAATAAAAATTAATAAAAGTTATTAGTAAAAAATTCAAAAAGAATACCGAAATTAATTGATTAAATTGCAAAAAAAAATTTTCAAAAATATTTAAATTACTAACAAACAGCGTAGCGAAACTCATTTTAAAATATCGTAATATTTTGTATGTTGTTTGTAAGTAGGTAATAAAATAATCGCAAAATCACAATAAAAATTTTTTATCTAATCATTCTATATTACGATGAAAATATTTTTTAAAATAAAATGTAATTCAAATTTTGAATGATTTTTCACTTGCATGTTATATACATACATAAATATGTATGTAAAATACGCTAATCAATGTCGCCGCATTAAATCAAAGTTGAAAAACAAAAACAAAATTGTATAAAATGTATTTTTTTTTTGTTTTTTTAGCACATTTATGAAAAAATTGTACTTATTGATTTAACTCAGCTCACTGTTCTTCGGTATACAAAAAAATCACATTGATGCTTCTTTTAATTTTTCTTCTCACCCTGATGCAATGATTACGACGTAGTTCTGTATATTATGTAATTAAGGTAAACTCCGTATGAATTAAATATTATAAATATTTCAGACAATATTTTTTTGTGTTAAAGTTCAAGAAAATGTGCTGCTTTGCAAACCAATGGTTTGATACGAATTTATTTTGTTTTTTAAATTCTACATTTTTACTTTAAAAATTTTATCAAATTTCATAAGACAATATTTATTCAAAATTAACTGAATTAATATTTAATCAATAAATAATAGCTAGAATTATTATTAAGGCCAAATATAATATGTGTATATAGATAACATTTGTATTTATTTTGTATATATAAACTACATTTAAGTAATTTCAAGAAGAGAAAAAAATGTGGTTATTGAATAACAACACCTATACGGCCATATACGATATTGAAACAAATGTGATATTGACGTTATACGAAAGTGAAATTATTGCAGAAATTCCTACATAATTTATTTTACATATACACAACTGATATAAAATAGCAATTTAATTTACATATGTATGTACCAAGCATTTCTATTCAAACACCATAATTATTGCAATTTAAACTTAAAGTAATTGGATATGTTCAGAATTCCGATTTATATAGTTTATTATTGGTTTGCATAGGATTAGAAGATAAGAGTAGAATAAAATGCTTTTCTTATTGTTATACATAGAAATAAATTCAAAAAATCTGATGTGGGCGGCACATAACCGACCGTAATGTGTATTTTCTGAGCGGTATTAAGGAATCCAATGTTAATTTATTCCCATTAGTTGGTGAAAATATTCTATGAAAGCTTGTATGTTCCAATATATTAATTTTTAGGTAATATACATACCTACAGAAAAAATTTAATTTTGGTTCTTAGAAGACATTCACTTTCTGTGTTCCGATTTCCATGAAAAGTGCTTTAGTTATTTTCGTTCACAAACAAATATATAAATTTCAAGAATTTTCATTAATTATTTCTTTAGATGTGGTCAAGGTTTCGAGTCCTAATATACCAAAAAAAATTACTGGTTCTTAATTTTATCAACCACAATTTAAATGTTAAATTTCAAGGAAATCTGTTGATTTTTTCTCAGTATTAAAAAAGCCTCAGTAGTAGTAAAAAAAGCCAGATAAAAGCCTTTGAAAAGCTAGGTAGCTCGTCATAATATCATAAGGATGTTATATATAAAATATATATCAAGAAAATCTGCTGATTTCTTTCTTAAAAATTGGTAAAAATATAAAACGGAGCCAAAGGGCCACAAATGTCCGTTTTTCTCTAACATGGACAAACCCCTTTCTGTTAAACACTCGACACGCGAAATTTGGTGCCATCACACCACCTCCCTTATTGTATACCTTAGGGTCGAAAATAATTAATGCTTTAGTATAAAAAATTGTTTATAAGTGCTTTTTATTATAATAGTACGAAAGCATTAAGTACACATGATAAAAATTAGGTTATATGTAATCAATTAAATTAAAAGTAACAGTACAAATTACAATTAGTTAAAATTTCTCTACTTTGCACCGTTTACTAGGTCAGTTGCATGTAAAAAAGTTTTAATTAAAATGAAACGGAAATTTAAATGTAGATAGTAAAACAGTTATTTGCATAAGTTATAAATTTTGACAATAAGTACACCTTTTTGATAATCACTTTTTTACCTGTTGGTTAAGATTAAATTTAAGAATTAGTCATTAAAATATTTAACACGGTTATAAGATTATTCTTATGGCTCTCATGACGACAATATCGACATACAAACAATTTTTAAACCCATGACTTTTGGTAGCTTCTGTCAAATTATAGTAAAACAAATTCAAAGTTTACGGATATTAACAATACTTTACAATTCTTACTGAAATAAAAGTGTAATATTAATTGACAACTTTTTCAAATGATATTTTTGATGAGTTCTACGGGTTTCAAAAAGCATTGCTATCATTTATTAAAACTTGAAATCAATATTATTTTTTTTTAATTCGTACAATATTACAATAACGTATTTAAAATAATATACGTATATAGAAAAAACCGCAATAAATATTTTTATTTTTGTGTGTTGAAATAAATGTTAAAACCTGACTGAATACTTTATTGAAGACTTCATATACCGTGTCTTCAATAATTTTACAAGGTATCAAATTCCAAAAAGTTTGGTAAAAGCTCTTGACATTGTACACTTATCCTAAATGCGTTTTATACGTAGTGGATATGTAAAATAAAAGAAAATCGAGCACGCTTTTCTTATACATGTCATATAAATGTTCCCAGAAATAACCAATTAAATGAACTAGCATATATTTTCAGCAATAAAGTGCTAGTTACTAAGTTTTTTTCCTAAAATGCAGCATTGAAATGCTATGTTTTTAATGACTTGGTAACGTTTGTTAAAAATTAACATTTGCACAGAACTTTAAATTGAAATATTCAAACAAATGTCAAAGTATGCATTAATATTGTAAAACTTGTATTCCAAAATGTATCAAAAGCTTCAACAGTTATTTTTACCGTGTAATGGTATTGAAAGTTCTGAGACGGTACTACAATCGTATTAATACCGTACTTAAATTTTTTGTAAAGCATAAACAACACGGATTTTTGCTTATAAAGCACGAATTAAAATTTCCAAATTAAACTCAAAAACACTTAAAATTCTTACTTACCTCTCTAATTGGTTGCTTACAAGCATAACAAATATCTGAATATTTTGCAAGAAAGCATTCAGAACAAACTGGTTCACCAAATTTTTCATTAAATGTTAAATCCTTTATTGGTTCCTTACATTCCCTGCATGTGAAATGTTCTGGATGCCAAGATTTTCCCATAGCAGTTATAATACGTTTTGTAATGACTTCATTACATTTATAGCATTTATTATCAGATGACTGAAAAAATTTAAAAGAAAAATGTTATTAAAATATTTTTGGATTTTACAATTGGAATTAAAAATTCTTAAGTTAATATTAAGCAAGTAAATAAATGAAATTAATGAATTTGTAAAAAAAAAAAACAAATTATTATAGTATTCTAAAGTTTTATGAATGAATTTTTGTATTTAGTTAGAATAAAATATTAAAGCTCTTGTTATGAGGAATTGGAAAAATTTTAAATCTTGTTCAAAAAAAGATTATTGTTAGAAACAAAAAATCTTAAGTTAAATAATGGTAAATAAATATAATAATAGTAATTATACCTTAATTGCTTTAAAAAATCGGTATTTTTGGTAATACAGGCAAATATTTTTTTTATATTTTTCCATGCCCAGAGTTTTTTAGTTTTTTTTATTTCTATAATTAAAGTTAACAAAGTGCAATTACTTAATCAAAGAGTGCCTTCATTTTTATGGCAACAGATTAAAAAGCCATAGGATATGGTATAATTGGTATTCATTTAACTCTTCACTTATCACCTGGAGATTATACAACCCCAGTTATATAATCCGCATATTAATCTATATTTAATAAATTTTATTTATTTTTAATCCACTCTACTTGAATTCAATCAATTACCAAAAAGAAATTCCATATTAATTACCTATTTTACATTCAAAGGAAGAATATAAAAATATTGTTATGTATAAAAATTAATTTTTAGAAATTTGATATGTTACTTATCTAAACAATCTTCAACATATACCCGCATCTAATGAAATACATGTACGGGCATTGGGATGACAATCAATTTTTAACCGCAACTTAAATAAGTGCTACAAAAAGTGTTTTGAAAAACTGCAATGACGATTCGAATTTCTAAAAATTTACAATGTACTCCTCCTACAAAGTATATGGACACCCCTTACCCCTAAAATGTGTTGTATGTAATTACAATTCAAATTTCGTATACTTGAATTTTATAAACTTAAATTGATATTATAATAAAATTTAAATTACATTTTTATATAAATGAATTTTGAATATAACAAATGAAAAACAAATACCCATGAACTATATAAAATCTTACATATTCGCTTCACAATGCATTTTATTTTTCATGATCAAAAGAATAACGCATTTTATTTAAATACATACAAATTCTATCAGGGGCAATTAGCAATAAATAAATCTAGCAGTTGTAAAAATATTGTAAGTGGGACGAGATTTTATGTTTTCTCAATGATTTAATGTGAGTTTTTATAATTTGTATAACACTTACAATCAAAATTGAACATATTTTGGTATTCGAACATAAGTAAAGTTTTAAAAATTTTAAATATTTAAACATTTTCTGAAATTTTTTGCAAAAACTGGCTAATTATCAAAGTCATTTAGTTATAGATTTCTTAGACATTACAACTACCATAAGTCATAAGAATTATGGGGATATGTAGTGTAAACAGATGTGTCTCTGCTTATTAGTATTTAGAGCATCTGTATAAGCACCTATCTAACAAAAGATTCTTTTGACAATTGCTCTCGATTTGAGTATACACTGTACTGTGCTACACAACTGTCCGTAACTAGACAATATTTTTAAATGAAATTAATTAAAATTAAATTATTATTAAAATTAAAACAAAATTATTATTTCATTTTATAATAATAATATTATTCGACATTCAATGTCAGCGAAACTATATATATAAATTGCCACGGCATAAAAATGGAATTTACAAACGCATAGGATTAATTGTAGCAACACACCAAATTAAATTTAGTTATCCGTAGATAAAACTCTTCCTCATTGAACTTGTAGTTTAATCCTTTTTCTACAAATTACTAGAAATTTGTGAGTAATACCGTGAAGAATGTCATTTAGATTAAGTTATCAAATACATATGACGCGCCAATTTATCGCTTTCATAAACGTCAACAAAACAATATGATTAGATTTTTATTTATTGGCGCATAACAAATAGTTTTAAATTGTCTCATTTGAATAATTTAAAGTAGGCACTTATGTAAACAACTTACATAGTAATAAAATTAGTGATTAATAAAACCATAAATTTATTAATTACTTTGTTTTTAATTAAAATCGGTTTGGAATTTATACCGTCGCTCAAAATACAAATTAAATGAATTAATCAGGTTAAAACTTAAATTTTATTATTTAATAACTAGGTACCCAAATAAATTTAGTAAAGTTACTTTTATCATGGTTATATTGAAAATTTACAAATATTTGAGATAAAAATATTTTAATTTAATATTTATTATTTTTTAGTTAAAATTGGTAAATTGTAAAAATTTTTACAATATAGAAAATTTAATAAGCATTTTATTTTTGAGTATTAGTTTTTCATTTAAATAAAGTATAAATTACGAAACGGAAGGGTTAGTTTTTGCTTTTCCAAATTTTAAAGTTTTCCATATGCGTAGATTATAATTTATTCAGATTGAAATTTTATATTTGAAGTTTAATGGGTTTTAGTAATATTTTAGAAAAATTAAAGTACGAGTATAAAATACTCTATTATTTTAAATAATATTAAATCTGTATACTTATTACAACAGGTACTTAGGGTTTTTTGTTCAAAATCGAATATTTTACCTGATGGATTACTTTAAAAATAGGTTTTTTAGGTAATCTTAACGCCTGGAATATATGCAAAATATAAAAATTTAATTAAAAAAATATCATTGATTTTAAAAGTAAAATTTACAGCATTCATTAAAAACTACAAGAATTGCTATTATTAAAAACATTATAAATATACAAAGTGTACATAAAAAAGTATGATCAATATAGTCTTCGTATCCAAATGAGAACTTTGAAACCCGAAAAAATTAGGTATACAAGATATGTGTGCACCTCTTATAATTTAAGAGGTTTAACAGGTGAATTTAAAGATTTAACTTTCAGTAACAGATGGATTATTTATTTGTATACATGTCAAAAAGTTCGAAGCGAGAACTTGCAAATTACCTCATGAATGTTTCTACGACCCTTAGAACTTGCCCGAAAACAACAATCCTAAGATTATTGTTTTCATTTGGGTTTCATTGATCATATTGTGCAATGAGTGTAAACGAAAATTATAATTTACATTAAATTCAAAATTTTGTATTTTTCACTCTGGTTCGAAACATTTTCACAACACATTTATTTTAATAGCAGCCTAAATACATGGTGATTTACTATTTAGTGCTTTGATGAATACCATCGTTTAAGGCGTCAAAAATGAATAAATATTTGTTTTGAGCTAGGTGTCAAATCTTAACGATTTTCGATCTACAGGAGTTTCAACGATTTTTCATGAAATTGCTACTTGCCGAAGTTTTTTGCTCATAATTTTCCCTTCGCAAAAGATATAAGCCTCAAACAAACCGTTCTAGAAATAGCTAGTAAAAGGCTTGAAAGCAACATATATTACGTGATTTTGTGTTATATGTACTTTCGGAACAAGTACTCAGCATTCTAATAAGATTCTTAATAAGAAAACAAAAAAAAAAAAAAAACAAATTTTTCCCTTTTTTAATTTTTTTAGTTTCCTCTCAACCTATAATTTCGCACCAACTGTATTGAAACTTAAAAATTTTTACAGAATTTTAGCCTCTTTCTCAAGTTTTAATTTAAGATACCAAAAGTTAAAAATCTATGGTACAGGTACAGGGTATATCAAGTGGTACAGACAGATACAGATATCAGACAAGACAGAAAAAAACCTGTACTTCAAGATTTTGTCTTAATAACATTTAAAGATTAAATGTCTTAATAACATTATCATAAACTCAAATATTTTACGAATTTTGTTTATAAATCACCCTATATTATGAATTATTTATTGTTAGATGAATTTTTATTTTTAAACTTGTCCGCTTACGCACTTCTTACAAACACTTACTTTTTAAAATATGCTGTTAGTTTTCCGGCTTGCCATCTATCAATTGAAGTTCAATTTATTGTATGTATGTACATATATAAGTATGTAAATATCATGCTTGTATTGTAAAACAATATAAACTTCCTAACTGAATATTTAAAATTCTAGACTGAATGAATATTAAACAATAACAAGAAAGTGTTAAAAATAAGAAAACGGAAGAAAGAATCATAAATTTTTGCTTTTGGCCTTTTTTTTGTTTTTTTTTAACAATAAAGATTTTTAATATTAAATTAATAAAAAAGTTGCGCACGGATCTTGTTTACTTTAGAAATATAAAATTCATTTTTATTTTCTTATTTTTTACTTTTTTTTTAAAGAAAAGTTTAAAATTTCAACCTTGAAAACTAAGAAAACAAAAAAATAAACTGACTACAATGCTATGCTATAACCCTTTTGTTCCACCTCTTCGCATGTGATCAAAAACAAAAAATATATTTTTTTCAGCAGTTTGTTTAGTTTTCGAAGTTGTTTCTGTTTTCTGTTACTAAAAATTTTGAATAGAGTGTTGTTGTTGTTGTTGTATAAACAGATCTATTTTTATGCAAATATTAACATTTTTTTTATTTTATAACAACTTTTTTTATGCTTATTTATAGTATAGAAGCAATTTAATATTTTAAAATTTTATGGCTATTAAATTAACGCATTTCTTGTTTTTAAATGAAAGCATGATCAAATCATATTTATTTTAAGTATGATTACAATAATTTTTGCTAATTTCCGACTTAATATTTTTTTTTTTCATTCTCATCCCCCAGAATTTTTAGCAGCCAAACAATTAAAAATGTGGTTTTTATTAATGCGCGAGATCTAATTAAAATTTATGTGCATAAATATTATGTATTCTAAATATAAAAATTATTTAACAACAAAGTATACGGTAAAATAAGTTGCAATTTTTAGAATTTTGTAAAGAGATAATATATGAATTGCAAATATGGGTAGTTTGTATATAATTTCTACATGCTCATTGAACGATAGTCTTTTTTTTTATATTTGCCGGATAAAAAAACATTGGAATAATTTGAAGATTGGAATTGGTCGGTGAAGCTTTTCAAT